TGTGTATATTTGAGTTATGAGGGCCTTATTTTCATACATATGCAAAAAGAACACAGTTTTGTTCAAGGTTGGTGCATCTGAAAGGCCTGTGTCTGGGCTTTTTATGGGCTAGTGCCGTGTTAGTACTACGGGCTTCATAGATAAAGCCCAACATTGATCGTTCTGGTGCGCTAGACCAACCTGGCGCTGTAACAATACAGGGCTGGACCGCACCGAATATTATATTGTAGCGGGACGACCCGGTCCAATTGAGACCTCTATAGGAGAGTGTCCTTCCCACCTCCGAGGCCTCGTTGGCTGACCCCTAGGGCCTTGTTGCCTTGCTGCCTAGGTGCCTTAGGCCTATGAAAAGGTTCTCAATGAGGGGAGCCGCTTGGTGTACGACTCTCCACCATCCTCGTCATGCGATGTGCTAAGTGAGCCACCTATAGTGCAAAGTGTGCATGCAGAGTCCTGGCACATGGGCGACCATGAGGGTGCCATGAGTCTCCATAAGTCAAGATATCTTGTGGATAGTATTGACCTGCGGGACCGATATTGCGGAGGCCTTACGACCAGGAGGTTAAACTATGTGCTTTCAGTCCGCGTGTAGATTCCCCAAGCGGAGGACATGGTGAGACATCTAAGGGCCTTGTGGTACGTCGTAGGCACACGAGAAGCCCAACGTGAGTTTGCTCATGGGTTGGCCAGACTCATGGGAGACTCGATAGTCAGCAGGACACAAAGGGGAAATCAGATACATGACCCGGGAGGCCTAGTGTGGGACTGCAAAGTCAGAGATGAGTTGCTTGGGCGACATGCTTCCGGATTTAGAGCTTGTTGGTCTGGGTACTCAGCCTAAGGACTTAAGGAACCCTTACGGCTGGTGGGGAAGATATGTCGGTTGGCCTTGGGTCAAGATGTCACAAGTTGGCGAGTGTTGAAGGTGTTGGGCCTCAGCACGTGGATGCAGCATGGCTGCTTGCATGCCCGAGTTGGATGTGAGTGATGCTCATAGGTGTGAGACGGGATGCATGCGCACAAGAGCGCTTAAGCCTGGAAGATGGCTTGATTGTGAGGAAGATTGACCTTGACTCGAGGAGTCTTGGCACCGCATGGTCGTATTCCACAACCTAAAAATCCCGAACCGTGACAGGAAGGGTTGAGATTCTCTCTCACATTATGTTGACCACAAAATTTGCATAAAAGAACTTGGTCAATAATTCGTCCCAATATGGGGCAATCAAATACCTCCAAATTACCTGTATCAAGGAAGTCCCAAGCACAAATTCGTTCAACAAAAAAAGAAAATTGTGAGAATAAAGATTTTCCCATCAAACTAAATAGCTGTCTCTCTCTCTCCAACTGGATAAAGTGACCTTGAATTGTAATGGAAGATTAGCAAATGGTGATTACAAGAAAGAAAAAGTAACGAACATAAAAAGATGGACATGACTAACTTGTCTATTCACAACACATTGGAGGACCCTCAAATTCGACTGCGTAGGTTGGCCCCTTTTTTTTTTCTTTTCATATTGGGTAATCTTGATAACTACTCTTTAAAAGTACATGAATCAAGATTTTTATCCTTTACTCTTGATTCATAACATTTTTAGTCAAATAATTACACTAATAAAAGGATATTTATCAAGAATAAAGAATAAAAGTCCAAACTCATACTCTAAATTCTCAATTTTTTCTTTCATATTTCCTTTGGGATGGCCGATGGGCTTATAAATGGTGGAGCCACCAAATATGGCAGTCTGCCTTCACCAACCATGATGCATTCCATTCACCAACCATGATGCATTCCATTCGTCAACTCAATTGGCTTCTAGTGACAGGCTCCGCTAGGCGCTCTAACAGTTTTTTTTTATATATAAAAAAGAGCTTCGTAAGGGTAGTGTAGGCCTCATTCAGTTCGCTGATTTGAGTTTTTAATTTGAGATGAGATATAATTTTGTGTGAGAGCTTTTAATTGTAACAGCAAAAGTTAAAAATAACATGTTGTGAGAGCTTTTAACTGTAGTAAAATTGAAATTAAAAACTCGAATCCGTGAAATAAACGAGACTATGTTTAAAATAATCTGACGGGTCATAACTACGAAAAAAAGAAGAGATTGTGAAAAGTGAAAACAGTCGGGGAGTTGAGAGAACAATTTTTGGTGCAAATTACTCGTACGCTTTATTATGACATGAGAAGCTCATCACCTCTATTACAATAACAACCTCTTTTCCTCACTTTTTTTTGGAAGATACAAGGGTAAAAAAGCAATGGCAGGTGACCACACTGGATCAACCCCAGATACCGACAAAAGATCACCTGTGGCCATGCGTTGTGACTGTGGTGAGAGGGGAACAGTCCAAAGGAAATGGATCTTTCGATTGCTCCCGAGACTTGAGAATGGCTTTCAATACACTCGTAAATCATTGTTTCCACTCTAGACAAAAGAACGGATCAGACTCAGTAGTCGTCCTTAAATTATTAAAAAAATATATATCTAAAGAGTGCATATGAAAATCAAACACCCTTTGAAAGAAGAAATAAGTTATTCAACCAGTGGGCCTTACAACTCATCAAATGAACAAGTTTTTCTACACATTGACGAGCCATATAGATCCCACCCACCTGCAACATACAATACGTTTGATTATGCCTTCATACATTTCCAATTTACCACCAATTGTTTGGTGGGGTGGTAAAGGTGCTTAATCTCGTCAACAAGGTTTTGTAGGCTGAAGGATTTATATGCCACGCGTAAAAGCACCGCCTCCCCGAGATTATTTGAGCACATTACCCTCTCTCCCCATAACACTTATTCCTCCAACAAAATAAAAATGATATGCATCGTGACCAAAGTTGCATTTATAAATTATAAACCCTTTCAAAGGGGGTCAGAAAGTTGCATTTGCAAACAAAGAGGACTGTACACAATACAACAGTTAGTCAAGATCAAATTTCAGAACCTAAAAAACTTGGCTTATAAACTTACAAAGTGTCTTAACTAAAGGAAAATGGACCATTTCAATGTCTTACAAAAATGATTTACAGAGGAGATAGAGCAGACTGGAAATTGAGATCTCACACACACCGCCCTCTAAATCTCATTTCACATTTATTATCGCTTGAGGCAGTACTTCGAACGCAAGTTATCTAGTTTCTCTGCATGCTCAATTGGAGTTGCCTCCTTACAAAATACCTCGTTCCATATCTTAACAAGATCTGCTCAAGTGGTAACTAAATTAGTATATAATGGTATTGTCACGCAAAAAAAAAAAAAATATATATATATATATATATATATATGGCCTGTTTGGTTCATCAGTTTGAACATAAAGTTTGAACTTTGAACAGAAATTCAAATTTGTTCAAATTGTTGTGAGAGAACATTATAGCAAAAAAAAAAGGAAAAAGGTTTGAACCAAAATTTTGTGGTACAAACCTAGAAACAAACAGATCCTAGAAACCAGTAGATAGTTTCAAGACACCATAATATCAAAAGGGCAAAGTGGTAAATCATGCCACCATGATCTTTACGAGATCTGGCTTTTAGAAAAATTTAAAAGTGTATTGCCACCACCAGCTCATTGATAGAGAATGTCTAGCATGTCAAAACTTTAAGGACTTCAATACAAGAAACCGTACCTGCTCTGTCTTTGGAAGTGAGACACATGACGAGTATGTCAAACCTTGGGACCTTGGTCAAGTTCTCCAGAAAAGTTACAGTTACATCCATTTCTTCGCTGTCAGCCCGGGAAAATAAAAAAGAAGAATGAGTACTTTATGAAGGTTAAAGGAAAGTCAAGGCTATCAAGCATTCTAGGAATGAACTTCACTTACATGAAAAAAGTTGCAATACACTTGACAATGTCAACTAGAATTGGAACGGTCAAAGAATTCTTGAATATCTGAGGTAAAGCTCCTGGAGATACAGTCTAACAAAGAAACCACAATAATTTTATGAGTATAAAACTATAAATGAAATGAAAAAAGGGTGGACAATTAGATGATCTAGAGTTCCTAATAATTGGCGAACATGTAATTAAAAGATAGTGGACAAATAGAAAGCCTTTCTATGGCTGTGGCATAAACAAGTCAGTTCATCACAATGTCAACCTATCAACTGTGCTGCGAGAAACTCGATCTAAGGAAATATTTGGAAGTCATCGAGGTAAGATCTGCCAATTCATAATTTGAAAGGAAGAAGAGTATTGCATCTTGGCAATATATATCTTTACAATATACTCCAATAAATTTTAAAAAAAATTCAAAAACCAAATCACAATTAACTCTTTTACATACCTTCAGTAGACTAGCCTGTAAAGCACGATCACCAGAAAGTCCTCGCCAAGAAACCTCAAACTGATAAGCTGAAGTTGGTGATCTAATGTTTTTTGCAGTTCCATTCATAGCTCGGGATGCAGCTCGAGATGCGAGCTCTTGCACTGATGCCTTTGGCTCTTGCTTTTTAGCTGTTTGGTTTATCTGCCAGAGAAAGAGAGAGAGCGTGAGTGACTGATTGAAAGTCTATTGATGGTATAGCATGGAAATATTTGGAGATGAATTAATAGCATCAGTTGAGATAGGTTGACGTTATAATACCATCACAAACTAGAAGCATTTAAGACATATAAGGAGACAAACAAATTTTGAGCAGAAGGGGAAAAAATTAAACTGTTGATACCTTTGTGTAATCTTCAGCTACAGCTGCTTCAGTCTTTTGAGTAGCACTTTCAACAGGCTGGATCCCATTATTCTGCACTTTGGTATCTTTCTTTTCTGCTTTCTGCATTTTTTGTACGGTATTTTCCAGTGCTACAGAAGCCTTCTGAAGAATTACCTGAAAAAAGATAAAATATAGTCATGATTTCACTGTTCTTAATTTCTCCCCTTATTTTCTGATAAACCTCCAAAAAGAAATAAGTACATAATTAAATTTAAAAAAAAAAAAAGCAAAGGATAGTAATTTCAACTGAAACCCTATAATATTTAGCCATCACTAAACAATACATAGAATTACAAGACCTATAAACCCCACATATGAAGACTGACAGGACATGCTATTACGGGATCAATTCTTTAGAAAAGGACATAATGACTATATTAAGTTGCAATCTTTAAACAAGAGACAGATACCGATTCCAAGGTCCATCATCACTGAATGATGAAATAAAGAATAGACAAGTAGTAAGCACAATAACAGACTACCAGAAGCCTATTAAGCTAAATATTTTGTTACGTGATCTTACAATCGCTGGTCTTTAGTTGAACAGAGGGAAGGTGAAATGGAAACTTAGCTATTCCACCACTCGAAAGCTTCATTTGGGTCTGATAGAAGGAGAAATTTACCCACCCAAATATAACGGCTATACTTAAAAAGTCAAGAAATACAAATTGCATACCACAACTAAATGGTACATGCTTTCTAAAGTGAAAAGAAAATGAAAGTTGAAGTTGAACTGTGGGAAACTAGTACCAAAATTTGCTTTCTTTTGCATACAGTAAGATAGTAGACACTCAAGAAAATAAAACGTTCAACAAAAACATTATGCTAGAAGCAACCACAATTTACCACGATGATTTGATCTTCAAGAAGATTATAAGAAAACAATAGAAGCAACATCTGTAATTGATGATTCTTAGAAGTACTCTATTTGTTTTTGCTGAGGATTCCTCATCCTCTTCCCTTGTAATTGATTATTATATTGATGATTATCAATGAAAGGCTTTTCTCATTAAAAAAAAAAAAAGAAAAAAAAGAAGCAACATCTGAAAATGAAAATATACTTACTTTCTCGCACAAAGATTTGGCCTCAGAATACTGTTTCTTGATTTCTTGGTTGTTAGGCTCCAACCGCAAGGCAAACTCGGCATCTGCGGTTAGCTATATTAATTACATCAGAGATCAAGATTACAGTGATATACCAGTGTTCTATATCATATATCAATATCAGGAACCAAAACCCAGTTTAGCTGTCACATACCTTCAATGCATTCTTTAAGTTTTCCAAGTTCTTTTCTAGCTGTTGCTCGTCTAGAATATGCCTTGATGTAACGGTCATCCATGTTCAAGGCCTCTGTACAGTCACCCTCAGCCTCTTGAAATCTAATCAAGAAAATTGATTTGCAAAAGAATATTAGGTAAGGAAGGAGCTTAGGAAACACACACACACACACACAAAATAAATAAATAAATATATAGAGGACGTAAAGCCTTACTCTCACTTGTATATCCTTACTGTTGATGATTTTTTTCTTCCATTTTTTTTTGGGTTAACAAGTAAACATAATAACCATAATATAAGACCACTATCATTTTGGAATGAAAAGTTTGTCCTAAATTTATAAATTCCATACACTTTGTGTTCATCTGTTTCATAAGTTTGAACCAAAAAGTTCAAACCTCTATTGCTATAGTGTTTGGCCATTAACACAATCACTATATAAAATTTGTTAACAAACCATAGTGTTTGGAACAAAACTTGCCTTTTTAGTTTAAGATATGCCATTGCCCTATTTGCATAAGCTACTGCAGTTGATGACAAGGCGATGCTTCTGGAATAACAGTCAATAGCTTCCTTAAACTTCTTCTGCTTAAAATACTCATTGCCCTGAAAGTCAACATATCAACAGAGAAATTAACATTTAAGTTGAGCAACAGATAAAATTTTGAGATAGTATCGACTAATGGCAAAAACTCCTACCAATTCCTTCTCTGAAGCTGCATCCGTGTAACTGTCTTCGGAAATTGAACTACTTGACACTTGATTAATTGCGTCATATTTTCTAGAGTAGTCATACGGCATTGAGCTACTTAAATATTCAAACGTCGATGATTTTCCTGCTGCTTTCCTGTCTTTGCCAGCTTCTCCAATCTTCTTGGAAGATGAAACCTTTACAAAGTTACAGGCAAGATTATGCAGATAATCTTACTAACACCAATTCATTGGCTATATGAATTCACGGTATAGGCCAAATACTAATTATGCTAGAGTTATTCCACACCCACTAATTACAACTTCTACAATCTGCGTATTTGGTTTTAACTCCCATTCGAAGAGATGGAAAGTTAAAAAAAAAAATTTGAAAAAAGGAAAAACGTTCACCATTCATACACGTATCAAAATCTAGAAGAAAGGGGGAAAAAAAGAAGAAGAAAAGATACATAAAACCTTAGAACCTATGAATAGAACCGAACAAAGTGCCAAAATGTCACTAAATGCATAAATTTCCTAAACCACATAAAACTACAACAACAATTGGGTACTAAAATATCGGTAAAATTATAAAGTGGGTTTAACAAAATTTACCGATATTCCCTTGTCGGAAGCTTGAGCTTTCATTTTCTTGTCCTTGTCCTTGTCTTCGAGGGAAAATTCCCAATCCTGCAAATCATTCAAAAACCCCTGGAAAGCCTGGGAGAAGCGGACGAACAAAAAAGGCATCCAATTCAAAATCAATAACCTAATCCCACTCAAAAAAAAAAAAGAAAAAACAAACAAACAAACGTCGCCTCAATATCATCAATGTTCTTAGCGTACTACATTACTAACAATAAAATAACCCAACAATCTGCGACCGCGTCAGTTTTTCAGCTGTCGGTTTCATTTTCTTCGTCAAATTGTTTTCTTTCTTCTTTTTTTTTTTTTTTGTCCTTAGATTTCTCAGAAACCAGACAAGTAAAGAAGAAGGCAAAGGATAGAACAGTAATACCAGAGCTTCGTCGCGACCGTGCTTGGTTGGAGCCCTAGCCATGGTAGTTGCACAGATTGTTCTGGAAGGAAGGAGGGAGAAATGAGTACTCGAGTCTATATATACGAATACTAAGGTCTCGTTAACCGAGTTTAGAATTCAAATTTTATTACAGTAAAAAGATGTCAAAAATAATCACATTAAATTTTTTTTATTATAATTTTTATTACAGTAAAAATTCTCACATAAAATCACATCTCAACTTAAATTAAAAACTCAAATTAATAAGCTAAACAGACCCTAAGAATTGTTCTGGAAAGGAGAGAGAAATGAGTACTCGAGTCTATATACGAATAGTAAGGTCCGTTTCTGAATTGAGTTTTATTACAGTAATATTATAGTAAAAATACTGTTACATTTTATTTTTTTATTACAGTTAAAAGTTTTCATAAAAAGTTATATCTTAATTTAAATTAAAAACTTAAATTAACGAATTAAACAGGTTTTAAGGTCTCATTTATTTCACTCATTTAAGTTTAAAATTTGAGTTTTACTACAGTAAAAAACTCTTAAAAACAGTCACATTTAATTTTTTTTATTAAAACAGTCACATTTAATTTTTTTACTACAGTAAAAAATTCTCGTATAAAGTTATATCTCAATTTAAATTAGTAAACTTAAAAGATAAAAATTTGAATCAATGAACTTAAATTAAAAAAATGAAGAGGAGGAATGGAAGAAGAGTGAAATATTTTATTATAAAAATTACAACTACTGTGCTCTTGCAAAACGACAACTAAGAAAGTTTTATGTTATCCTCAATGGCAGCAAACGACACTCTTATTTATCGTTTTAACTGTGAAAACCGACATGTCGTTTTTCATGTAAAGTTTATTGTCATTTTTCAATGCAACTAGGGGTGGTCATCCGATCTAAACCGCAGTTTTTAGCTCAAACCAATCTGATCCACACATTGTGAATTTTTAAATTCACATCCAATCCAATCCGCAATTAGCACATCATTCAATCTAATCCAATCCAATTGCGGATTGAATTGGTTATTTTAATCAGTTGTTTAGGATTTTAAAAATTAAAGTTTTTAGATCGATTGATATTTCTAATCAGAATCATTTTCATTCGTTAAGCTAGACAATAAAACTAAATTATAAGTCGTAAACTAGTCTCATAATGGCCCCGCTCATGTTACACAAGCTAAAAAATCAAATTTCACACACAACGCACACACATTAGATGAGAAAATCGATGAACTCACTATTTGAATTGATTGTTTTAATATTTCTATTTTTATTCTTGATTAATACTATTTTTAATTAATATAAGGTGTGTTTGGAACTCATTCTAAAATAATTTTATTTTTTATATGAAAATAGAAATGAAAACGTTTTTAATCTCAGACAGAAATTATTTTTGAAAATGCGTTTGGTAGTTTTATCAAGAAATTATTTTCAGTATTAAAAATCCCATTAATGTCTCTCTGCTTGAGAGAGGAGAAAACGAAAATAAAAAACGACTAAAAGTCATTTTTCATTTCTCTCACATTTTACACTAAACCAAAAAATCGTTTTTATTTCTATTTTTTATTTTTAATTATGTCAAACGCCGTTTTATAATTGTTAATTTTTTTTTCTCGAAAAATGTGAAAAACAAAAAAAATAATTTTAAACACGACATTAGTTTTTTGACTAAAAGATATTAATTAAGTGTAAAGAATGAAATCTAAAACTCATATATTTTAAGAGTATTTGTCTTTTTTTCTCTTCACGCATAGTTGTTCTTAAAAAAAAAAAGAAAGAAATCAAGACATAGTTCAACAGAAATCCAAACAATTCTAAAGAAATCCACGTAAAAAATATTTAGGAACTAAGACATATAAAAAAATATTAGAAAAGATTTTTTTTAATAGATATATATTGCGGATTGGTTACTTTTTAGGTTCAATCCGCATCTAATCTGCACCTTGCGGATTGGATTGGATTGGATCGGTTTGATCAGTCCATTTGTCATTTTAGCGGATAAACGACATGCGAGCTGTCATCAAGAATAATTATTTCATTTGAGGGGAAAAAACGTTGCCCGTTTCTACTTGCTGCGGTATAAACGACGTGTCAATTGTTGCATAACTAGTTGTCTTTTTGTCACGTGTGGGTTCGTTTGGTTGGAGGATTCAAACCATGTGATTCGAACCATTTTCGATTTACGTGTATTTTTTGTGAGAGAAAATACTGTAGCGAACAACGAATCATGATTCGAATCAGGGAACGAATCCCTCTACCAAACGCTCCAATGTGTGGTGTTGGCGTTTGCTGTCATTTAATTAAGCAAACAATACGGTATACCGTGTAGGGTGCGTTTGGTAATATTTTTTTGGAGTTTAAAATTATTTTTCTAGTTATCAGAAATTAATAATGGTTGTTGTATGGGAAAATATGGGTGATAGGTGAAGCGTCGACAGGATGACACGTGGCCCTACCTCCTCTCAAAAGGGTGGCCACTCTCGACGCCAAGACATCGATCATCCTCGACACAGCAAGAGTTCGACTACCCTCGACGCATGTCGACCCAATTGTGACGTCGAACTTATGCAAACAACCTTCGTTAAGGTTAGAAAGGGCATAAGATCCACGCGCCTCAGACGACGAGAGAAAGATGTCTGACACCCTAAAGGTGCATCTAAGAGTGGGACACGTCTGCGATACGGGCATTAATTACAAACCTTTAAATCGCCTTACAGTGGGTAGTAAGATATTACAAGGATTCACAGAGCCGTAATGGAAGACCTAATGGTTGAGTGAACAGTCCAAAAGTGATTAGTGGGCTATGGTCTTAGTTTGGAAAGTAGGCCACTCGAGTACTTTCACCTACGAAGGAAAACCTCCCACGAAGGAAGCTTGGGCTATAAAAAGGGGCAAAGCCCCATACACCAAAGGGAGAGTTCTCGGAGAAAAGGCGTGAGAAGAGAGAGCATACGTGTATGTAATTTGTAAAGAGTCCAAAATAAATAAACCATACACAAGTAGGTGTAGCTCTTGATTAACATATTGAACCACTATAAACCTCGTGTGTCCTCTTATTCAAGTGTTGTTTTTCATGCTCACAAAATATAAAAAACACTTCCTAGCACAATTTCAAATATACAACTAATTTCTAACCGGTAACCCCACGGGATACCAAAGGGTGATCCGGTGTATTTCTGTTAACGAAGTTTCACCGTCAACAATTGGCGACTCCACTGGGGACCGAACCCAGAATCTCTGGTTCATACGCTAGTTAACATGCCTCCAAGAAGAAGAGTTGAGGCCATCAACCAATGCGGCCAGATGGAAGAAACTGCCGCACATCCGGCAAACAACGGGATGGAAGAAGATCTACCTCCGGTTAGGAACGGAGCTCCACCCCCAAACGTACTACAACCAGATCCTGTGCAGATGCAGGCCCAGCTCACTACCCTAACTGACCTGGTGCGGGGACTGATGACTGTGGTTGAGCGCTTAGACGGAAGGAACTCGATGCCGCCTCTGGAAGACGCCCCGAGGCCAATAGAAGCTACCATGGCTAGAAACCACAACCCCGGTGACCGCCAAGAGATCCCGGAAGGAATCGAGGATAGTGAAAATATTCGAGGTGATCCCAGGCCACGGCCCTCCCAATCCACCGGCAGCCGTATAAAGGCCGCCGGACTCCGAGCTCCCGAGAACCAAGTAGCCGGAGGCCTGGGAAACCCCGAAGCGCCACCTCAGAACCTTGGCAGGAACCCTCCAGGAGATGCGGGGTCGGTACAGACGGGCGGACGGGCAAGAGGCGGAGCCAATGCGCAAAGGGCCGAGATGTCGAGAGGAGATGGCTCTGCAATTTCTACGGAGAAGGCACTGGCCATTATGGAGCGCATGGGCAGCCTAGAGCAAAAACTCACGGGCGATGTCGCCGGCCTAAAGAAAAATATAGGGCGAGTGGCCGAGGTGGTGAACGTCGACATCACACCTAGTCGGACGCACGACCACCCATTTACCGAGGAAATCATGGCGCCACCTCTCCCCGATAAATACAAGTCACCCTCGATCCCACCATATAACGGCTGGGGGGATCCCGATGACCACTTAGAAATGTACACAGTGCACATGCTCTTGCATAGGTATGCCGAGGAGATCATGTGCCGAGCCTTCCGAAACCATTTAACAGACTCTGCCCGGAGATGGTTTCGAACGTTAAAACCAAACTCCATCTCAAGCTGGGACAAGTTGAAGGAAGCATTTTCCCTCTAGTTTATGGGAGTAAAGAAATATGTCCCTCCAAAGCAGAACTTTACTACAATGTACCAAAAGCCAAACGAGTCATTAAAAGAATAACTCGCAAGGTATGGGGAAGTTGTTGCTGCAACAACGGACATAACTGACAGGGAAGCCTTGATGGGGGTATTATCTAGCATGAAGAAAATTACCCCTTCAAGAGAGAGCTGAACTAGAAGCCTCCGTCCAGCTATAGAGAATTCCTTGCACGAGCGCAATGGTACATCAACACCGAAGAAGCATATGCAAACGACCCTGAGCACAGGTCCAACAAAAATAAAGGGACTGAGCAAGGGTCGACGGCAGGAAAACAGGACGGGAAGAAGCGGCGAGGAGGCGGAGACAAGCAATCTGCTTCGGCGCCAAACACTCTAGAAACTAAGAAACCAAGGCAAGAGGAGAACCGCAAGCCTCGACCGTTTCAAAGGTACGACTCCTACCATGAATTAACAGTAAGAGTCGAGAAAGTATTTAATCAAGTGGGTCGCGGGAACTTACTGCGCCGCCCCGAGCCAATGAAGTCAGATCCGAGCCGAACGAACCAGAAGAAATATTGTAGGTTCCACGGCGACGTCGGCCACCACACCAATGATTGCGCCGATCTAAAAGACGAAATAGAAAGGGTAATCCGAGAAGGCAGGCTGTAGGAGTTCAAAGCCGAGCGACGACCAAGAAACGATGGCCACGGTGGCCAAAATGACGGTCGACGTCGAGAGCAGAACCAGCGACTAGAGGACCGGGAACCCATCGGCGTCATACGAACCGTCCTCGGCGGTCCGTATATTGGAGGAGACTCG